CCCCAAAACCCCAAAACCCCAAAACCCCAAAACCCCATCTGGCAAATTTTTTCAAATAGCAAGTGATAAATGATGTATTTTAAATATAGATAGAATCGTTGAGATGATTCTTATTCATGCATTCAGAACTTGAAGTCCAATGAAAAACCTAGAGGGAGGGTTCCTGTCTTTTGTTCTTAGACGACTCTGAGAGCATTGAATCCTGAGACTAAGCCTAGGGTGAGGACGCTGTTGATTCTGCGCTTTAAGACAAGGTCGACATATGCTTTGTGATTTACCTTGACCTTTAGTTGGGTATCATCATCAATTTTTTCTGAGAGTCCAAGTCTTGCATCTTTTTCATTAGTTGAGTAGTTAAAGGCAAATTCACTGCCAATAGATCTTGAAGTTGAGACGTTATGGTGGAGGAGGAATAAAACTTTTCCTAATTAAAGTTTCTCTTTAGAAAGAGATTCGTGTCTAAGACCAACAAAAGCACCTTCAGCTGGTGACCAAGAAAGACCATAATCATATTTCTCAAGGTTTTGAGTGACTGGATCAAGGATAATATTGTAGCCTAGCAAGAAGTTGCTTCTTGCTTTATGAGTAAAGTTGTGCTCTACTAAGAATGATCTCAAGTTAGCAATAAGCTTTCCTTTGCAGCAGCTAGTGTTGTATTCAAGACCTGCTTTTGCTACAAAAGCTTAGTTTGTTGGAATGGCTACACCGGAGAAATTGGCGAGTAATTAGAGTCCCTTGATTTTGGAAGCTCTCTATAATAAGGAATTAAATTATGATAATTTTATTTACCTCAAGATAATCGCTCTTCACTTCAAGAGTATTGGTACCATCATTCTTCTGAACTCCCTCCAATGAGACTCCTCTAACGCTACCCTTGAACTTAACTTCTAAACCGACCTTTGAATCTCCAGAAGTCTTATCAGCAGTACTGAGTTTAGTGGTTGAGCTAACCTCCTAAATTAGAATGATTAATAAGATATTGCTCAAGCAAATGTATCGGTTGAAAGTTTAAGTTATTGATTCTTGCTAAACTTACAGAGTTACTCTCAGCAGCAACGTTCTTTGTCTTAATGACGACATATTGACCATGATTGTAATCGTCATCGAGGAGTTCCTTGGACCATTTGTGCAAATCTCCAAAGTTTTCAAGCTTAACACTCATATCTTATTTAAATCCTTATTTAATTATATTTTAATTCTAGTTCTGACTCTATATCTACTTGGATGAATTATCATACTTTAGGGGTTTTGGGGTTTTGGGGTTTTGGGG